GGCTGCGGGGCGCCTCGCCGCTCAGGTCTTCTCCTGAGGTCTTGAGCCGAGGTGCTCCTCAGTTGGCACCGGTGCACCCACTTCCCCTCCGGCCCCTTGTCGATCCGGTACGTGGTGGGGCCAGCAATGTCGATGATGGAAAACGGACCTTCCCACTTGACCTCCAGGCCATGCTCTGCTTTTTCCACCTTGAGGTACATGACTTGGTCCTCTGCCTGCCAGAGCCGGGCAGCTGCAGGCTGCCAGGCACCCGGCTGCGGGCAGGCCTGCAGCAGCGCCTCTTCGATCCGGTGCTTGTACTCCATCTGGTCCTCTGGCAGCTGGTTTAGCCAGGAGAGGACATTGTCTCCTTGGGAGAGCTTGCCCTTGCCATGAAACGGATTTACCCGCAATTCCATCGGGAAACCAAAAATAATTGGGTAAGGCGTTAACGCTGTCCCCAGCCGGGCTACAGATCTGATTCCTGCCAGGATCAGTGGCAGCTTTTTCACCCAATCCTTCCCGGTACTCTGGGCCACTCGCTTTAGGTTTACTTTAATCCCTTCCAGCTGGCCAGGAGACTGGAGGGGACATAAGATGTCCCACTTTTGCTCCACCCTCAAAGCTCGCATGACTCCCTGGAAAAAGTGTGGTTCTAGGTCTGAAGTGATGGTGGCCGGCATCCCATAGCGCAAAACAATTTCCTTAAACACCACCTTAGCCATAGCCTCCGCTGTACGCTCACGCAGGGGGAAGGCCTCCACCCATCCCGAAAACACATCCAGCACCACCAGGAGGGCCTGGTGGCCCTCTTCGGCTTGGGGGAGGCCGTTGACGTAGCTTACCTGGAGCTGAGACCACGGGCCGTCCGCCCGCTGCGGCTTCAGGGGTAGCGCTTTGCCCGCGGCCGTAGTGCACCGCAAGCAGTTCTGCACCCACTCTGCTACTTGCTCCTCGTCGCCTTCCCACCGCGCCACGCCCGGGCCAGCCTCCCCTCTCCCCCCTCGTGCACCCAGCCGTGACACTGCGCGACTATCTCCTGTTTCTCGTGCCTCGACGGCTCCCAGTCCTGCGGGCTCCTCGCTGTCCCCGTTTTGACTCGCCCGGGCATTTCCCTGGCCCTTTTGCCCACTCTCAGGTTCCACTCGTGCTCCTCCGGGTCCTCGCTCCCGTGTCCGGCGACGTGCCTGACGTGCAGCACCCCCGGGTTGGAGCGAATCCAGCGCCAGATGCTCGGCCACGAGGCCCCGTTGGCGCACGTCTCGCCACCGGTGGTCTCCAGCAGGCCCTCGGCACCCTCCTCCTGCAGCTTCTTCACCAAGGACTTGGAGTCGGAGTACAAATAAAGGGGCAAAGCGCTCCCGTGGCCGCGCAGGACCTGCTCCACGGCAGCCAGCTCCGCGGGCTGCGCCGAGCC